TTCTGAATCAGCTACTGTTTTGTTATTAGTTTAAGTATTTGCTATTGACTGTTCAAATGCGGAGTTTTGCACATCGTGTGTGTGCGCGAGCGAGCAAGAGATAGAGCGAGAGAGCGAGAGAGAGAGACAGATATACGGACAGTGTTTTATGATAAAATACAGCAGATCCATCAGACATTTAAAACTCTTTCAAACCAGGAGATCATTACAACTAGGGATGTCAACGATTAATTGATGATCGATTAATCGTCGATAAGAGATGCAATCGATTAAAGCTATCATGGTCGATTAAGTCGGTTAATTTTGGGCTGCGTGTGGCTCATGCGCAAAACGCGAGCGGTGAGTGATGGTGACGGTATATAAATGCATCATCATTCACTCATAATTACAAATTAAGCTTTTAATGTGATTTAAACTTTAAAAGTACATTAAAATAGAAACAACACAAAGTTCTTCAACATGGAAAGCAATAGAAACAGTCATTTCCCCAGATAATTGTTTCATATTTTAAACAATTAGGTGAAGGTTGCAGGGCTGCGGGACACTGCGGGGGAAGGATAGGCTATTCATTCCTACAACTTGTTAATTCGTTCCTACGACTTATTAATTTGTGGCCACTGTCCATGTTTCATTCATTTTGTTCCTTAAATAACCCATGATTTAAGTAAAATGAGGGAACAAATTAATAAATCTAACAAATTCTTAATTCATGGCCATAAAATCTTTAATTTCCCTTAGATGCGAAAACGGTGATAAAAAGTGAATGACAATAAAATTAACCTGCGAAATTAGAGGGTTAGATGGTGAGGATTTAGGAAAAGAAACAATGCCTAAATATGACTGAATTTGTGGAAATTCGTAACCAACCGGCAAACCAGAACAAAGCCGCGTGAATGTAGGCTATATGGGCTCGAACGGCATCCAAAAGCATGGTCGCGATGTAACATTTTCCAGCTAACCAATTATTCCTCTAATAAACAAAGCTTTTATACCACACTTGTCATAATCAGAGCTTATAATTTGTAAATGAATAATTACTGGATTCAAAACAGCAATTAAAAGGCGCTGTGACACTTGACAACACGTTTTCCCGGAGCATTCAATGATGTCACTAAACGGTGATGCCCAGGGTGCGAACTACAGGGGAGCTAGGGGGAGCTCGGCTCCCCTTAATAAGACCTGGGCTCCCCTGAAAACTTTTGTGAAATTTTGGGGGGTCTCAAAAAATATTGACTGTGTTATTTTGACGGGCAATTTCAGTTTTGTGTAATGTGATCATCGTGGATTATTATGTGTAAAATTTCAAAAATATCATTCATTCATGCATGACAGCGATTTAAACCTAATTCACTTCAATAAAGATAACTATACATGCTATTCTTGTCATGAGCATCAAGGTGTGGGGGAGCTGCGGTGCAAATTCCACTCATGTTTAGTACATGTTAACTCAAAGATTCGTAGAAAGAATATAAACGCTGGACTCTGTGGTCGATTCTGTGTTAAGGTAAGGCATGTTATTCAAAATTATGTGTTGTGGCTGTATTGTTATAGGTCTGTGTGACTCTCGATGTCTTAAGTCTAACTGAACAGAGGAATTATGGTATTCTTCTGTAGCTTGACGACGAGTAACTTTAACCATTGTTCATGTGAACTCAAAGACAGCCTGATGCTTTGTTTATAGACTATTTGCGGGTGGCTGTTTGTTGTTTCACCTATCAATTCGTGTCGATAAAGTATAATAGGGTAAATCCTGTATAGTGATTTATCCTATGTAGTGCTTGCATAAAGCAAGTAGTGCATACACTTGTAGCTGTTATGTATCTTTGTAAGTCAATGCAAGCGCACGAACCCCCCCCAAAAAACAACAAAAAGTGGGCTCCCCCAAAGTCCACGGTATAGTTCGAACACTGGTGATGCCACAATAAGAGCATCGTTCACAAGTTTCTGCATGGACCTAACTAGCCTAGGCACAGGTTTTCAAGCCCTAGGACAAAATGGGATGCTTTAAGGAAAATGTATAGCCTATGTAAGTAATAGGCCTAAAATAAAAATAACAATTTGTTTTCATAAAAAAAAAAGCGAAATATATCTGACTTAATTAAGCTAACAGATTTAAAACAGAAGTGTGGCATGGTGCTCCATAAACAAGTTCACGGAAAGGAAAGGATGACAACGCGCATTCTGTTTGTTTGCTTTATTTAACAAAAGCACAAATCTTATTTTTATTGTGAGTGTGCAAAAATTAAAGTAAACACTTTTGCGGATTATATCTTAGGCCTACTCCAAAAATTGAGTTTTTTATGTTTCAGCTGTTCGATCACACCGGCGCCTCGCGCACGCACACACCCCACATATTCTAGCAATTCAAACTTACATCGCAGTCTGTTCATTATAAAAATAAAATAGTCAACCAAACATATAAAAGGTTACACTGGTCAGTTTAAATAGACCGTAGTATACCGGTCTACTCTGCTGTTATGCCAAGGATTTTTTTGCTCATGTGAAGAGGATGATCTTTTCCATCAATATGCGAATTTAACATTCAAATACATTGCGAATATGGAAACATTTGGATTTGTGCCGAATGAGACGTGAGTAATAACCTCCAAATACATCTAGCCAAACCCGAGCTCAAATGATCATAATCACATCTATTCATTTTACGATCCTGCTACTAGCATTTTATTCAGACTAAAACCCCTTTAATTCGGGTAAGAAAGCGGGAAAGCAGGTTTTTTTTGAGTGGCTTTTGCACATCCTGTCATGCCGGTGACTGCGTGCTGCTGCAATAGATGCATTTTGCTGCATTAAAGTTAACGATTAATCGATTAATTGATCGTTAATTCAAACGACGATCGATCATGGAAATGATCGAAAATTGACATCCCTAGCTTGAACCCAACTGAACATTTCTGGAGAAACCTGAAAATGTCTGTCAGCCCGCATCCAACCTGTCAGAGCTTGAGAGTTGAAGTAGTAAGGAGAAGAATGGCAGATACATTGCCAAATGTTGATGTGCAAAGCTTGTCGCATCATACACAAAAAGATTTGAGGCTGTAAAAGTGCTTCAACTAAGAATGTTCGTATTTCAGGTTTCCTTTAATAAATTTGCTAAGTTGTTACAAATCTGTTTTTTGCTTTGCCATTATGGTGTATGGAGTGTGGACTGATGTGAAAAAATTAGAAACTAGAGCAAATTTGTAAGCTTTTACTGTGTGCGCGCGTTACTGGCTTATGCCAGGCTCTCACAGTCAGCCTAGACAGAGTGTGTTTGCTTGCAGCTGTACCATCAGTCATGCAAATTGCCCTCCTGACAAGTGCTTTATAACACTTAATGTGTGTGTGTGCATGCATGCATTTTAATGCACAAAAAAAAAAATACAGATCAGAAGATGCACTGGCTAATATCTAATACAATTTATCTAATACACAAACGTGCTTGAGAAATCACATGTAAATAGGTCAATCTTAAAAACAAGTGCCATTTGTATCCCACATGTACCATACACATGTGTAAATGATTTTGAACACCAGTAAACAAATGATGCCAACTTTTACTGTGGAAATATGAAATGGTAAAATGATAAAGATAAAACAAGAGCATCACATATGAGCACTGTGTCAGATGTGTGTGTGCATGTGCATGCTCATAACAAACATACACAGACATACAGTACATTGACCACATAGAGACTCACACACTTTGCAACTACATGTCAACTCATTTTCATTAATTTGCAACTACATGTCTACTAACTCTCAGAGTAGACTGTTAGGTTAGGTTTAGGGTTTGTAGAATAAGTTGACAGTCAGTATGTTGTGGACCCATCAAAATAAAGTGTTAGAAGATATTAAGCAGACAGTCTGCTAATAATCTAATGACTGCTAGTTGACATGTAGTTGCAAAGTTACTTACTGTTAGTAGAATGTCTAAAGCGGACTATCAAAATAAAGTGTTACCCTTGTATGTGTGTAGGGATGTCCCGAGCCTATCTCAAGAATCATTATCAGGGCCGATTAAGGATTTTTTTTAACTGAATGGTATCGGTACCTTTATTTTATGTCAGCTGTCACACAGGGGTCATGCAGTAGGTGGCGGTATGTACCTGCAAGTGTGTTTGCCAAATGCCATTAAAAGGAAAAAAAAGATGCTCAAATGTGCCGTGAAGGCGTGAGAACAAATTAGGTCAGTTCTAATGGATCACACACGTTCAAGCTTCCGTGTTTAGCAAATTTGATGCACACTTTTATAACGAATCACTTGAAAGTACTTTATTTATCGTTTATTTTTATCTGACTATTTGTGACGTTTTTGTCATGGGTTACATATTGCTTCCTATTTGACTGACTGATTTAAGCTTTGTGCTTGCTAACCTAATCTCCAGTTTTTTGTTGTTGTTGTTGCAATTATTCTGTTTATTGTACATATAAAATGTGAGTTGTTTATATCAGTAGTCCCATATTAATAATTGTGACCACACACAGTCTGTTGACAATATCAACCATATAGGTTTCATCCTTACTCATGGTGATGTTATTATTCTGTCTGTTTGTCATTATCTCTGGAAAGTATTTCTGTCTGTTTGAAGAAATGCTGGGAATGAGGTGTCAGAAGCAAGCAGTCTCTGTGTGCCTTTTACGCATTTCTGCTCATTTTCAGCAGGAAGAGAAATTAGTCACATCTTCCATGTTCTTGAATTGAGGAACGCTATTTGTGGGGCATGATTATTTGTTAAAGAAGACAACAGTGCTTATGGTGCATGAAAAAAAAAACAATATACTACAATACATTCTTCTAAAAATGACTGCGGTTCTGAACTTTGGTTCTGCATAGGACAAGACATGCATTGACAGTATTTGTGTCATTGTTTGTTCTGTACCAAGAGCCCTGTATGTGTTCGGTTCAGTACGGATCGCATCTTCTAACAATTGTTCAGATGGCACAAGGCAGTTAAATAAGCAAAAATATGCCATTTTTTTCCCCAGTATAAATAACACACCTGTATAAAGGGTACGCCAGAGCGCTCGATGGCAACCACTCCAACGGTCTGACTGAGCTCCAAGTCTAGGATGAGGATTTCTCTGGGGTACAACAGTAACATGTGATTCCTCTTAGATGGTAGATATGACAGCTGGAGACAATCATTAAGAGTCACTGCTTCAGCCCTGCACACAAACACACACAGGTCATATTTAAAACATCAATTTATCCTGGCTGTTTCAATGTTTATCTAACATGCTGTTATGTACATTTATATATCACAAATCAGAAAACTATGTATCTTTATCCAAAGGTGTTCAATGGGAAATATTCTTGCATAGCCAATTGGATTGAGTGACAAACTTCACTGATCGCAGGATGCATATTGCACAAAAAAACAATAAAATTTCTGTGAATCAGGAATAGGTTTTAATATGTCTTCCAGGAAACAAAATTGTATTTAAAAGGTTGATTAATGCTTGTGAGGAAAAATGAATCAGTTCGCCAGCACAAACTTTCTAGATAAAAATTGCAGTACGGTAAAACTCAGAAAGATGTGTTGAATGGTTTATGTAAATATGGCTCATACATCATCTACAGTCTGGATTACTTTTCTTGTTTTTGTTTGTTTCAATGTTCTGGACTCTGTTTTAATGGTTCAATTAAATATTTTAAATATTTAAAAATCTAAAAATCATTCTAATCAATTGCATTTACAAAATGTATATTTTCTTAATTTTTGTGCAATACTATAGCCATATGAAATGTTTTAATTTTTTTAAGTAATTCTGTGTTATCTGTTTGAATTATTCTGAATTTATGAATACAAATTTATTATCAAAAATGGTGGTGATCAAATGAATGCATAAAACATTAAAATTCCTTCAAAGATCCTTCAAATTCTGAGGTCCATATTGGTGCACCCTCCTCTTCAGTTCACCCAACAAATTTTATATAGGCTTTAGGTCAGAGGACTGGAATGGCCATGGCAGAACCTTAATTTTGTGTTCAATGACCCATTTTTGTGTTTGTTTGTTTTTTGTATTTTTTTCCAGGGAATCAATGCCCTGATGGAAGATCCAACCACTGTCTATTGTAAGATTTACAGCAGAAGCAGTCAGGCCATTTTCTATTTTGTTAAGCTTAATCTTTCGCTGCACATCAGAACTATATTCTTTGGTTAATAACTAACTATATTCTTATTGTGATGGAAAATTAAAGGGGATATATGACTTTGCTAAAAAGAACATCATGTTGTGTATTTGCTGTAATGCAATGTGTTTATGCGGTTTAAGGGGGGAAAAAAAATATTTTCCACATAATGTACATTATTGTTGCTCCTCTATGCCCCGCATTTCTGAAACGCGTCAATTTTTACAAAGCTCACCGTTCAAAAGCGAGGTGTACACTGATTGGCCGGCTGTCCAGTGCATTGTGATTGGCTGAATACCTCAAGCGTGTGACGGAAATGTTACGCCCCTTAACATACTGTGATGCCATCTCCCGGCAAGACGAGACAAAACCAATAAAACCCATTACAAACGAGGCATTTGTTGCATCCAGTGGGGACATAATCACTAATTATAATGACTTATACTGTGTTTTTACGCATTGCGTTGCGTATCGCGCCGCGTAAACATAAAACCCTGTCTGCATTTGTGATCGGAGAAATTACAAACAACAAGCACTACTCTACACTGCTTAAAACTCACGTTTGAATCATCAGTGGCAAATTTGAGCACAGACCCATTGTAGGCTAGTTACCAGGTTCAGGAAACAGTCCTCCATAAAATGCGTCACACAGTGTCAGATACTGCGGGCTAGAGTGAGGAACGTCCGGCGGACTTGAGAACGGCGCAGCCGGCGGATTTTACGAAGGAGCGTCCGGCTGGCTTGCGGCAACCACGTCACGACCCCGGGCTTCGTTCACGGTGAAAGCCGATCCGGCGATCCACAGCGCAAAGTTGATGTATTTCCTCAGCGACCAGCACGGATAAACTCTAGGCATGACGAAGCGAGAAAAAAAGTTACACCTTCTTTGCGTGAACATTTGGGCGGTGTTATGCAAATCTTCTCACATAGTGACGTAGACATGTGGGGGCATGTTAGAACGAGCCGTTTTAGGTAGGCGTGGTTGAATTTTAACTTTTATAAGAGAATATCTCTTTGGATTTTAGACTTTAGTCTTTGCAACTTTACAGATCTTCTTTATGCACCAAGAGCTTGTGACACTCCAAAGAGAAAGGAAAAATTTAAATCGCATCATATGACCACTTTAAGGGAATTTAGCCTTTGTGTTGCCTCATATTTATAGTCCTGTGAAACAGTAAGTCACGCCTGGTCAATTTCATGTTCGTAGTCACTCTGGTATGCTAAACATTGTAAATATGAATGGGAATATACTACAGAGATATTTCACTCATAATAATTTCTAGGTGTGCTGATAATTGTGGCCGAAATGTAGTAGAAAAACAAAATTTATTTCATACTGTGATTTTTTTCTCTCCCACTTTCATTTGTTTTACTGGTTGAAAGGTTAGATTTTTGTTTAATTAAAGACCATAAGGATAAACAATACAGATTTATTTTCACAGCTTTCTTTGATGATACTTACCAAGGATGCCAATAATTCTGACCATGACTGTACAGTTTATTATATTTGATTATAAAGATGTTGTTGAATGCAGCCTAAAGAGAACATTACAGATTGTTTTTTGTACAGATATTTGTAGCAATGAGTATTTTGAACACTTAATCACTTTCAGGGTTGGAGGGTTATTTTTAAAATGTATTCCGTTACAGTTACAAATTACTTCATTAAAAAAGTCAAATTGAAAATCAAAACATTTTCAAAACAATATCTAGAGCATGTTGTAATCCAGATTAAAATGTAAAAACAAGTTTGACAATAAATAGCCTATTAAGTCTAAATATTTAAATACATGCCACTGTGATGAACACAATAGCGAATACAAAAATCTGAATGCCTATTTAAACCATTTAAATAGTTTTAGAAAGTAGCGCAGCTGCTTTGTTTACAGGGTAACACTGCATTTCTGTTGTTTAGCGTCATCTGCTGTCAAGAGAGTGAATGTGTGCTTTCATTCAGCATTCATTCTCTTTCACACGTTGCACTATCCGAGTTTGTTTACTTGAGAGTGCGCATGCGTTTTTCACACAGCATACAGCGGTGTTGTGCATTGTGTCCAGTTGATGGGAAAAATATTCTTAAAACGGTATTTTCAAGTGCCCACGATAACAATATCGTGCATATTCATTACCATGATATATCGCATTACTGAATACCAGCACATCTACTCCTAATATATACAAATATTTACAGTGCAAAAATAAAGGCAAAATATGAAGCAACAATATCAAATATAGTCACAAAAATCCTGCACGACCACACTAGAGCCAGCAATTCCCTCGTCTCCCTTCAGCCCCTCAGCTCCACCATCAACTGGCCAAACTGGAGAGTTGACCCATGGGCTCCACCTCAATCCTCCGAGCCCATCACTCCACCTGTGACCGTCGTCCTTTCGGCTCCTCCAGACTCCATCGTAGCGAGTTCACCTTGGTCAGTCATCACTCTGCCATTGCCATGGGCTTCCAGGTCAGCTCTGTCGGCTATTCCTTCCCTCCAACTATACCTCTGTTCTCCCTCGTACTATCGTCGCCACAGTCATCTGGCACCCACGTTCCACCTTGGCTGCTCATCGCTGCGGCTCCATCCCGGTCTCCCGGATCCTACTCCTAGCTGGCCACTCCCACCATCATTGCTCACCTCTTGTCTGTCGTTCGTCTGCCTGCCATTATCCAGCTCTTCGCGCACTCCTTGTCTGCCTCCCAAACCACCTTTCTCCCAAGCCTTCTCAAGAGGGCGTAATATCACATTTATGTTCTGTTTACGGTTTCATTTCTATGGTTACTCATTTGATTAGTCCTTTCTTTCAGCTGTTGCTTAATTAGTTCTCTTTGTTTGCTCTAGTGTTTATATGCCTGCGTTTCTTCTCTAAGAGGTCAGTTCTCATTAACGCAGTAGCTGAATTTGGTCAGGCTTGTCCTTCTTTCAATAAAGTTGATTTTCTTTATTCATCGTCTTTGTGTTCCTGCACACAACTTAGTATAAGACACATACAAAAAAAACAATTCTTCCACCACCCTTTATTTGGGGCAATGGAGAAAACACATGATAAAATGGCACACCATACTATGCATAACGTGAGGACTTTGTATATCCCAAAAAGAGTGGTAAACAGTCATGAAAAACAAAATTATTAAGTTTGGTGTAAAAACTTGACTACAACTGGACTTTAGGGGGAAAAATAAAACGATGGGGGAAAATCCATAATAAACACCCTTTAAAATCCTGTTGTTGTGACTGTTGCTCTCTCACTACTTGTTTCATCTAAATGCTGCAGGACTAATAGTGAACTAATGAGCTCTGAAGGGGGCTTGCTTTTTGTTTATAGGATGGAAATCAATGCTGGGAATAAGCTAAATCAATCAGACTCCAGGAGGCAAAAGGGCATGGGTTGTGGAAACCCTGCTGCTAATAAGAAAGCAGTGAACAGAGGAAGAGAGAGCAGAGGTGCTCCACTAAGACCTTCTATCATTCACTGAGACAACGAGACACAATCAATGGAAAATAAAACCACATAAACACACTCACACTGACATCACAGGGCAAAGCAATGTGCAAATAGATGGAAGATCAGAAAGATAAATCAGAGGGATCAAACAGTTTGAGTGACTGAATATCAGAAAGGACAGACAGACAGAAAGAAAGAATATATTCCTCGCTCCAGAAGGCCATAACTTAATAAAATCAGTTCTTTAATATGTCTGTGTAAGGAGTGTGTTATAGTGGCTGTTTTCTACACTCCCACATTTCACAAGGGTACTGAGATACTAGAGATGCACCGATCGACCGGCTAGGGACCGGAATTACAGTCTGCCGATTCCGAGCCGGTCTGTTTTGACGTCACACTTACGGCGACTGATAATGTATTTATGTCATGCCAGATGAGGCTTGCGCAGCCTGAGTGAGTGTGTGAGAGAGACTCCTGCATAAATCAAAACAAATGAGTGCAATAGCACTCACAAAAGTTATAGATGCATACTTCGGTTGGAAAAAAAGAAATGTATAATATGATTTAGGTACGCAACATTGCACGACCAA